TTCACACTTGGAATACGTCCAGGCACAATTTATGACAACATTGTCTGGTATGTTATGGTCAGTTGGTAACTGTAATCTAGCAGAAACCGTTGACAATGGTCAGTTGGTAACTGTAATCTAGCAGAAACCGTTGATAATGTCAAACAACGAATCTTACTTGCGAAGTTATTGCGAGCCTTTTCTTCATTCGTTATGTTTGATGTACACACCTATATCATTGTAGTTTGATGTACACACCTATATCATTGTAGTTTGATGTACACACCTATATCATTGTAGTTTGATGTACACACCTATATCATTGTAGTTTGATGTACACACGTTTGATGTACACACCTATATCATTGTAGTTTGATGTACACACCTATATCATTGTAGTTTGATGTACACACCTATATCATTGTAGTTTGATGTACACACCTATATCATTGTAGTTTGATGTACACACCTATATCATTGTAGTTTGACGTACACACCTATATCATTGTAGTTTGATGTACACACCTATATCATTGTAGTTTGATGTACACACCTATATCATTGTAGTTTGATGTACACACCTATATCATTGTAGTTTGATGTACACACCTATATCATTGTAGTTTGATGTACACACCTATATCATTGTAGTTTGATGTACACACCTATATCATTGTAGTTTGACGTACACACCTATATCATTGTAGTTTGATGTACACACCTATATCATTGTAGTTTGATGTACACACCTATATCATTGTAGTTTGATGTACACACCTATATCATTGTAGTTTGATGTACACACCTATATCATTGTAGTTTGATGTACACACCTATATCATTGTAGTTTGATGGACACACCTATATCATTGTAGTTTGATGAACACACTTACATCATTGTAGTTTGATGAACACACCTGCATCATTGTAGTTCCTCTCTTGGGGTTCTCACTAACAAAAGTCCCAGAATGTCGCCTGGTCCAATGTTTTATTATATAACATATATTTTAGAATGCATCTAAATGTAAACACCATAACGTTACACAATCTAATAAAATTGTGATGCTTTTACTATTTAAATATGCTGTATGGGCCACCACAAAGAGTGAACAGTTTATAGAAATATCAAAATGTGTGATTGATCATATATTCGATGTACTTTCTGTAATTCTGCCCCCCCCCCCAATCCCGTTTAACAAACGAGTAGACAAAAATTCAAACATTGAAATCAACCAAATTTGATTGTTTTCTGAAGATTTAAAACAAAACGACACTTATTATTAACTAAGAAAAATAACACAAGTCGAGGGTAGATGTGTATATAAAATGACTAATTATATATATCAAATACATTTTTTATAATACTGTTCCAGATATATCTTAGCTTTCATTTGTTTCATGTTACTCCAAACAATCCAAAAAATACAACCAATTCAATAAATACAACCAATTCAACAAAGACAACCAATCCAACCAATACAACCAATCTAACAAATACAACCAATCCAATAAATACAACCAATTCAACAATAACAACCAATCCAACAAATATAACCAATCCAACAAATACAACCAATCCAACAAATGCAACCAATCCAACAAATAAAACCAATCCAACAAATGCAACCAATCCAACAAATAAAACCAATCCAACAAATACAACCATTCCAACCAATCCAACCAATCCAACCAATCCAACCAATCCAACCAATCCAACAAATACAACCAATCCAACCAATCCAACAAAAACAACCAATCAAACAAATCCAACCAATCCAATCAATCCAATAAATACAACCAATCCAATCACTACAATGTAAAAAAAAAATAACTTCCATGAATCGCACTGCCACAAAATAAAAAAATAAGTTCCACCCCAAACAGTGTAGTTTGCAATTCATACACCTTAATAGATAGATTTCAAGTCATTTATTTATCTTTTTTTTTTCAATACAACTCAGGAATGTGTTTTAAAATCCTTAATATTACCTATGCTTTTGTTCGTGCGACCCATTTTCCGTCAACCTATGGAGCTGAAACTTGGCCCATAGACTCGTTATCGATGACAAAACATTCTAACAAATTTTCAGCCCCACATCCCCTAAAAAGCATTTTTTCTTCTTCTTTTCCAAGGCCAAGATGAAGGAAATATGACGCCACTGATTTCACCAAATATAATTCCCGATGATTGCGCTAGATAAGATTCTTTTTTTTTAAAATAAAATTTGCAAAAGGGTTTGGTTCGTAACATATTTTTGTTTGTTTCTGAAATAGTTGATGCAATAAATCTGCGGTGTAAAAGCAGGTGGTGCATTAGAATACTAATATAAAATAAAATAATTAAAAAATTCCCTATAAAGGATTTGTATGAAATACTTTGTTTTTAAGGGGCTGTTTGGTTGTTTTTTTTAACTGTTATGAACCATTTCGCTGATCTTTGCTGACATAAAAATATAAAAAAATATATAGTTGAAATTCCATCAAAAATTTTTTTTTTGGTGAATTTTGTTAAATTAAAAAGGTTTGTACCTACTAAACTATCTCAACACCAAGCCATTGCAATAGAGTTTTTTCAAAAAACTTGCTGAGCTAATCCTCGTTATTAGCTTCCCTTTAACTCTTTAATACGTTCGCATATTACGTTTTATAATAGGACAGTTCACCTCGTGCGGCTATCAGTTCTAAATAAAATATTGATGGCTTCATTACGGAATTTTCTGGTGTTTTTTTTTAACTTGTAAGACAAATCCATGTTTTTTTTTTACTTTGAAGCCATGTAGATTTTATACAGCGAGATGTGGGTAAGGGTTGCTTATCAACTTGTTATACTGTGTCATATGGGGTAGGTGTAGTCGACGGCCATGTTGCATAACAATTCTTTTTATAGATGTTGATTTTTATTTATTCTTATTTTTGCTAAATTTCTGCTCTCAGTTTTACAAAAATAGCCAAGATTATTAAACACAAAAATGTAATTTTGTTGACTCGGTACATCTTTGTAATAAAATATTTCTTGCTTTTGGTTTGAAATTGGCTTGTTTCGGGGACTTAATTCGCTTTTTTTTTCATATCACGTTTTAAAGGGTAGTAGCGTGAGTCAAACATGTCCTATATTGTGTTATATAATCTGTGCATTTAATCCTTTTTTTTTTTGGGGGGGGGGGGGGGTTTTTTTTTTTTTTTTTTTTTTTTTTTTTTTTTTTTTTTTTTTTTTTTTTTGGGGGGGGTGTGTTATTTTTCGTTTAGGACGTAATGCACTTAAGTAATTTTCAAATGTTTTCCAATTTTTAGTGCGTTTCAAGTCGTCTTCTATAGACAGTCTTTTGGTGTTTTTTAAGTTTTTTTTAAATTTAATTTTTTTAATTTTTTTTATTTAATTTTCATTTCTAATTTGCTAGTCTCGAATGCCAGGCTCGCATGCCAGTCCCACGTGCCAGTCCCACATGCCAGTCTCACAACCCATTCTTCAATAATTGCTCTGCTGATCGTGTTAAGGCTAAAACATTTTAAGACCACTAGAGAGACGAAGCCAATGTGACTTGCATTAGAAATGAACGATTGACAATTGTGTTGATAGTTCAATGTAGCTCTCGTACAGTAGTTCAGTCTAGCTCTTGCACAGTAGTTCGATGTAGCTCTCGTACCGTAGTTCAATGTAGCTCTCGTACAGTAGTTTAATCTAGCTGTCGTACAGTAGTTTAATCTAGCTCTTCGACAGTGGTTCAGTCTAGCTCTCGTACAGTAGTTTAATCTAGCTCTTCGACAGTGGTTCAGTCTAGCTCTCGTACAGTAGTTGAGCTAGCCGCACCCCCCCCTCGTAAAGTGTGCTCCACTGCACGCGGTAACTCCTCGTTGCCAAAGCGAATGAAATAAACGTGTCGTAGACTTTGCGGCTGGCTGTCACAGGACATACAAATTTCGGTGTGGTCATTTTTGTTGACATGAGTTGTTCGGATCTATAAATACAGGCGCGGGTCCCTGAAGAGTACGTCCAATAATTTCTCTATGGGCGAGGTCCATGCATTTTAAAGTATACAACTTTGTATTGCTGAAATTGAAACAATTTAGAAGCCATCGCTGTATGTCTCGTTCAATTAAAGCTCTGATGATGGCGAGTTTTAGGCAAACTGTTCACGTTTCAAGAAAATGCCAACCTTGATCAACAGAGTTATTCCTATCCAAAATACAATTCTTCTTAAAAGGATTTCAACGTGTCGGACTGTTGGTAGTTTTTGTTCTTATAATTATTTCGTCATAATTAAGGTAAAATCCTTTTACTTATTATTGGATAGACAATAATGCTCCCTTATGTTGGATGACTTATGGACTCATTAATTGTATGACTGACTTGTCATTGTCACCTGTCTCGGTAGCTGATGTGAAGGTGTGTCTCATAAAACTGTTCGAAATACGAATAGTTACGTCGAAGGTTCAGGTATGCGAAATTTTTTACCCATGTTTATCTAGGCAAAACGGTCCGCCATTCAACCACAAGTGACTCATCAAATCACCGATCTTTAAATTAAATTATTATTGTCTTACTGACTAGTTAGTAATATTTGTAGAAGCTATATTTTGTTACCTACGCATATGCAAGTGAAAAAAAAAAATTGCGAGCCAAATTCTTTTCAAGAACCTGTCAAGAACCATGTTTTTTTGGACTAAAAACCGATTTCTGGCTGACTTGTCCAGCTGCACTCAGTTCGCGAGGCGCACTGTCGACCACTGCCTTACTCCATTTAAATGATTGAAGATTTGCGATAGAAAAGTCAAAGTAATTGCGTATAACTTTATTAGTCGGTCTCATTATGAACAAGTTTAACAAAAGGTCTTTACATCAAAATCCTGACAAGTACATAAATTAAATGTCTCATCTGTGAGCTTTTTTTGGTTTCAGGTAAATCATCATATCTTTAATGGCAGCTATACACAACGACACAAACATGACATGCTCAGATCGGGGTGGAAACACAACCGCCGGCGGCGACGAGGACGCGGTGGTAGGGGTCAGCGTACTGCCCGGCCTGCTCAGCGACCACGCCCGTGAGATCTTCATCATCGTCAATCACGTGGTGCTGAGCACCGCCATCGGTCTGTTCGGGGTCGGCGCCAACGTCATCAACATGGCGGTGTTCGTCAGGCAGGGGCTCACCAACTCGATCAACATCAGCTTCTTCGCCATGGCCGTCTCGGATTTGTGCGCCCTGGTCACGCTCCTGTGGCTGAACATCTGCCTGAACCCTTACATCGCCAACGTGGACTCTCCGATAGTGTTCGTCGAGATCCAGTACTTGACCGCGGGCTGGCCACACGGGTGCGCGGCCCGCATCACGAGCTGGATCACCGCGTACGTCACGGCCGAGAGGTGCTTATCGATAGTGCTGCCCCTGAAGGTGAAACAGATCGTGACGCCACGGCGCACGACCGTCATCCTCGTCTTGATCTACGTCATCAACATCCTGACGCTCGTGCCGGAGTACTCAACGGTTTACTTCGCGTGGAACTCCTACCCAGGTAAGAACCACACCATGCTTGGTCTGGCGTTCAGGAGCAACCGCCCCGTCACGGAAGGTTTGGTGTTTACCTTCCACGCAGCGTTCGCCATCTTATCTTTCACCGCCAACGTCGTATTCACGAGCATCCTCGTCACGAGGCTCAAAACTTCGGCCAAATGGCGGCGGAAGTCAACTGTTGACAACGAGCAAAGTGAGATCAAAGCGGCCAGGGACAAGAAGACCATGACCATGATTATACTCGTGGCTATAATCCTGATAATCTGCTACACTCCGACCGTCGTGTTTTCTATAGTCTCTACGATGGTCCCCGAGTTCGGCGTGGTGGGGCGCCAGTCGAATATCTTCCACGCCGCGTGGTCGTTCGCCTTCCTAACCCACTCCATCAACTCAAGCATCAATATATTTCTCTACTACAGCATGAGCTCCAAGTACAAAAGCCACTTCCTGCAACTGTTCCCCGCGTGCAGTCAGAAGTCCGGCAACCCTGGTTTAAAAAGAGAGGACGACTCGAAGGTTGATTCCACAAACACAACACAAACAGAAATTGTTTTACGTGACCTGCCAGACTAAAAATTTGTTTAAAGGGGTGAGGGGGCAGAGTTGCGTCCTTATCCATGCCAGCAATGGCGTGCAATAACGTTGACTTGAATGTTGGTTGCGTTTGGGAGAAGAGGGTGGGGGTGGATGACAGCTCTTTGGGTTGTCTGTGATCGTGTTTAGAGTACAATATGACGATTTTCATTTGCAAGTTATCTTGTGAAACCAACTGCAAGTGATTTTACGACAGTTGCTGTTACGACAGGTGATGTTACAACAGGTAATGTTACGACAGGGGATGTTACGACAGGTGATGTTACGACAGGTGATGTAACAACAGGTGATGTTACGACAGGTTATGTTACAACAGTAATGTTACGACATGGGATGTTACGACAGGTGATGTTACGACAGGTGAAGTAACAACAGGTGATGTTACGACAGGTAATGTTACGACAGGGGATATTACGACAGGGGATATTACGACTGGCTTGTTCTTTTGTGTCGCTACATTATTATACAAATATATTCGTGTAACTCAAATCTCTTAATGTATATTAAGTTAAACTTAAATCTCTCTATGCCTCCAAGACAGTTAAACTCAAATCTTTATGTGTATCTTATTCAGTTAAAGTAAAATTTCTATATGTATCTAAGACAGTTAAACTCAAATATCTGTGTCTCTCAGAAAGCAAGATATTTTCTTGCTCATACACCAAGACACACTCTCTCGATGTATTTATGTCTCTCTCTTTCCCTCTCTGTCACTATCTAATTATGTTACCATCTCAATCACTTTTTTTGTATCTCTTTCTTTTCCTAATTTTCCATCCCTTTTCACTTATTTCTCTTTCTCTCTCTCTCTCTCTCTCTCTCTCTTTCCTCTCTCTCTCTCTCTCTCTCTTATATTAATTTTTACTTTATGTCTCTGATGTGGTCATCGAGGAGGTTTCTAGGATAATGTTTCTTTAAACTAGAGTTACTTTTTCATCTTCTTGTGGATATTTCTGCCATTGAATAGGAAAAAAAATTAACATTTAAACTTATGACTATACCATTCATTAAACATGTTCACTTTTTTCTTTTATCATTGTATGTTTTATTTGACCTTTTTTGTTTATTGTTTTTAAATCCTTTATTTTAAATTCGCAATGAGTTTACCCTGACGTGGGGGTAGGGGGTGGGGTGGGGTTTAAGATTTTGTTTAACACGGTGTTGACGTGTACGTACGTCCTGGAGGCCAAGAATTCAATTTTTGAAATCGTCATAAACTGCACGATGAACACTCGGTACATGACCACGTTCATGAACATCCTTGGGGACAAAATGACCTGAATTGAAGTTCCCGATCCAGTGCTTCAGTCTCAGGAATGTTAACGATGCGTCGTCGCAGGATGTGTCAAAAGATCATTGTACGAGCATCGTACAGATTAGTAGAACAGTCTAGAAGTGACCAGAAGACCATACAAACGTATTTGGAATCTAAGCAAGGGCGTCTGCGGATTTCTCTAGAAAGTACCCAATCATTTACAGTATAACCAGGTCATGTCGCCGGCCTTGGGGTTTGCCAAAAAGCGTCGAGATAACCGATGATCGAGATAAACGCAAACCAATTTTGCGACAATTTATTAACATGCACTTGAAATTCCTTAATGTACACGATGTGCGTTTATAAATGAGAATGTACATGCACGTGTTTTTATGAAGTGTTTTGTTTCTTTTTTATACGCAACAGCGTTACCGCCATCTGTTTGATGAAGTGATCTGCATTCCAATAATAAAAATGTGCATACATGTTTGCTAACAGAACATAGGCAGATGTGGGGTGCCATATGTGGGGTGCCATATGTGGAGGTGCCATTTTTTCCAGATTATCCCGGAATCACGGATTAGTGAGGCTAAATATTTTCAGCTCCGAATTCGAAAGTTTTATTTTCTGTCGCTCCGGTTTCGCCAGCTCCGTTTATTCAAATACGGATTATGAGTTTAAGAGAAAAAAACAATCAACGTGTAAGTAGGCCTACTGGTGAGAGCCTATGAAGCGACTAACGGGTTCGCTATAAATAGAACAGGTACTGCGACCTCTCTCTTTTTATTTCTGCAAGCCTCTCGCTCCTCGCTTCTTGCTGTGTCAAGTTAATTGCGCGGACAACGATATTATCATTTCATTTCAATTACGACAGTTTAAAGTAAGCACGTTTCTGTTATATATAATTTTCAAAAGCTGGCGATTGGTCATGGAGATCGAGAAAGCCGAGGTTAAGTGGAAAATTTAGTCGCCTTTTGTGCTCGAGATATCAGGGTTTGGCGACATAAAAGAATCGACATAACCGAGGACAAATGCTAGGACAAAGAGGGAATTTGGCGGTTCCACTTCAAAAACTTTGACATAACAGGGTTGGCCCAGGTCGAGATAACTAGGTTCGACTGTATTCAAAACTGAATTCAAATGTGATATCCCATTAGTTTAAAAACGTATTTGGTTGCATAAAATTTGACTATAATCGTGAGTATGGGACACTTTATTGCTTATTAAAACATAAAATTTTTTAAAATATATAGACTTAACAGGTCTAATGAACTCAAATATTAACCTAACTAACGAACTCAAATAAGTAAACCTAACTGATCAATTAAATTAATATAACTAACGAATTCATCTTAGCATAACTAACTAAAGAATCCATCTTAGTATACCCAATTAACGAACTCAACTTAGTAACCTAATTAAAGAATTCATCGTTGTATACCTAAATAATGAATTCAACATAGTTTACCTAACTAACGAAACAACCTATTACACCTAAATAACGAATTAATGTTAGTGTACCTAACTAAAGAACTCGTCTTACTATACCTAATTAACTAAAGCAATACAATACGGTATATTTAACTATCTAATTCAAATTAATACACCTAACTAGCGAATTCATCTTAGTATAACAAACTAACTAACTCATCTTAGTATACCTAACTAACTAGCCCATCATAGTATACGTTACCAACAACTCATCTTAGAATACCTAACTGACGAACCCAGTTAAGTATACCTAACCAACGTACCCAAGTTAGTGTACCTAAAAGAACTCAACTAATTGTGACATGACATATCAACAGAGCAATAGTCAAGTGATTACAAACCCACAAATGTGATAGCAACGCAAACAATAATACAAGTCTCAACATTAAACCCTCCAGGTAGCCCCATAGTTATTTAGACCAGTGGTATGCCCCCACCCCGACCCCCATTTGTGCCGCATAGACTAATTTCCCAATTTATTTACATGGCACTAAGGTATATCCAAAATAAAATACTTTTTCAGTTGTTACCAATTTGAAAACAGTGGGTACCACCTAGCTAGCTAGACGGACCACCTTATTTAAATATACACAATACAGAAACAAATTATCGCGAGGTCAGTAGATTTCTATCAACATTGAAAGCATATTTTGTCCAATTGAAACTCTTTAGTATTGACATATTATAAACATGGGGATGTATGAGAGAAAACAAATTAAACAACACCTAAAAGAAAATTATAGCGTATAAATCCTTCATAAAATAAAATATCAAGCCATGGGGGCGGGGCTGAAAATTTGACAATATATTTATGTCATAACGCACTTTACAGTGCTCGTCCCCACAATGCTCGAAATCGCACATCTTTTCACGCCCCTGAACTATATCAATATTCTGATGAGTTAACCGCTCGTAAACCGAAGATTTATTTTACGATATTTTTCAGAAAAATAAAAGAAAACATTACGCAATAAACACACTTGGGATATTTTTTCAAGAATCTCATTTGGCACTGATATGGGAATTTAATGTCATGCTCCCCTTGTGGAAGAAGAAAAACTGATTTTTGGAGGTTGGGGTGAACTTTTGGTAGAATTTGATGTCATCTTCAACGATTCTATGGGCCAAATTTGAGCTCGAAAGCTCGATTGGAAGTGGGTTAATTAGCCGTCCGAAGATTTTGCAAACCAGACAGCCAGCCACGATCAAAAGCAAGCTTTATATAACGTATTTGAAACTATTGAATAATCTTAGCATGTGTAAAAATTTATCGAGTGTCAATGGGAGGTAAGGTGCATATTTTAGATATATTTTTTTTTCAGAGATATGATTTGAACCCACCGATCCTCGATTTATTGATTAATTTCTACTGAGATTAATTTTCAGCTATTAACAAATAAAACGAAAGGTTTTATCAATTATGATTAACAATGATTAACAATGCGCTTTAGAGGAAAATTACTTAATTTTGTGTTCAACAAATCTGATCATCACCGGTATGGTGGAACTTTTTCTTACTTTTGTTTTTAGTGTCTCCAGGAGACTCTCCCATTAGGAATGGATGTTGCGTGTGTTGATATTTTTTTGGTATTACTTACTATGTTCGTCATGTTTGGCTTTAAAAGTGATCAGATGGTGCCGGCAAAATACTAGTATAACAGAGAGTTTATGTCATTGTTCTATTGTTGTTGTTTTTTTAATAAGTAAAATACATTTTGGGGTTTTTCATGCATACAAAATATTGATTACAGTAAATGTTTTTGTAGAGTGCAACGAGCTATAATTCCAAGGTGATGGACATTTTATTTTTATTTTTAATTTTAATAATTATAGAAATCTTATGATATGGAAACAACCTTCCCCCAAAATTTTTAAAATTCTTTTTGTTTAATGTCTTACCACTACATGTAAATTAATTTAATAACCCCTCATCTGAAATAATTATTAATTTTTGTTTTTCACTTATACAAGTTACACTGCAGCCAAATCAGTTTCGAATATTTAAAGTCTGGAGCAGAAAAGCAAATGTAAAAAAAACCATAGAGATCAATGGCAAAATTTAAAATTGAACACAATAGTGACCATTATAAAACATGGT